GTGGTCCTCACAGGACCGATCACCAATGGTCAATCGTTTCTTCCTACTTTGCCAAACGTGGCTCAAAAACGTCTTTCCTAGTCTGTCTATCCTACCGGGTATCCCTTGCGTGGGGGGACGGCGATTGCTCACACCGAGGAGGTGGGGGGGGGGGTGTACACGCAGGGAGATGAACGGCAACGGGAAAGGCGGAAAACTCACCATCACGACGACGCCTTTCCCGCGACACTGTTAGCAGCAACCAGCCAACACCAAGCACGACGACTACCACAAACACCGGAAACAGCAATAGCGTCAGCAACAGCCACGACAAGAACACCAAAAAGTACAACCACAAAGCGGCAACAGCAGCAACAGCATCAGCAACACCCACAACAAGAAACACCAAAAAGTACAACCACAAAGCGGCAACAGCAGCAACAGCATCAGCAACACCCACAACAAGAAACACCAAAAAGTACAGTCACAGAGTGGTAACAGCAGCAACACAACAACACGAACAAGCAACAAAAAACACCACAAACTTGTCACAGCAGCAACAACAACAGCAACAACAACGACATAATCCATTCACCTCTTCCTCATCCTCGTCATCCTCGTAGCTGCCGCCCCCGCTGCTGGGAACGCTGATCACTCCCGGAGAAATGTCCAAGGCAGTTCCGGGCGTCCCCCCTCCCCTGTGTCCGGGGCCCTTCCTCTGACATGCCAAAAAACACAAGCACAACACAAAGAAAGAAATTCGCGTAGTTTCAACACAAAACGAAAGGTGTTGATTTTTGCAGACTTGTTTTTTTTTAAATTGGCCGATGGCCTCAGCAAAACATCGACCGCACCGTAAGAAGTGGATAATCCTACAACGGCCAGAAAAGGGCATGGTATGTAGCATGCGTATATGGACAACGCAATACAAGTGGCAGGTTACGTGCCGACGCATCTCAACGAGAGTGTTATGACGACATGAGCAGAGCGAATGATGACACGGGACCGTGAAGAACTGTCTCTCGAGAGACTTTAGGGAAACAAACCACGTTCAGGGAACATGTGCAGCGGGGCGTGCACCCTTCTCTTTGACGCCGTGAAGAAAAACCAAGGGCTTGCTCGGCGATCTTGCCCGCGACAAACTACCGCAAATAATGGTGAACGGCCCCGCAAAGCCGTTAAAAATCTGCCGGTTTCTTGGGTTTTACCGTCAACCGTCAAACGCCGTTACCGCCGAAAAATGAGAAACAGTCCATTCAACCGCACCAACATTTGTTGTCGTTTTTCTTCGCTGTGCCCGTCCAAGAAAGATTTATCGAGCAAAAGCCCTTGCACAAAAAAAAGAGCGTTTCTTTCGCATGGTATCCTTACGTACGGTAACGATACCATGAAAACGTTTTTTAACACACGTGACCCCAATGTGCACACCACCAAGGCCGCGGCAGCGTCCCACGTGCCCCCCCCCCCCCCCCCCCGGCGAACGGTTTGGTGTGAAAAAAGCAAACAACCCGGCCACAAATCGATCATCAGAGTCTGCTGATTGGTCAACGTACCTCCCCCCCCCCGAGACGAATCGGTAAAAACTGAATTGGAGCGTGAGAAACAAAGAACGTTAAGAAGATTTTTTTTTTGGAGTGTTTCAGGGGAGATATCGCAGTGTGCTGCTCGGAAAATCGTGGAAATGCAGGTAGCCTTCGCTGACGCTATGGATTCATTGCTAATCTATCGTAGACTCTTTTCTATAGATAGAGATGGGGCTCGTTGGGTCATAATAAGAAAATGAAAAAAAAACGACAAGAAAAACACAAATTTGGAGCGTGAGAAACCAAGAATGTAACGAAAAGAACAAAAAAAAAAAAACATCGCCCCACCTTCTGAGGTGTAACCATGGCTGCAGAGGACGACGACGACGACTTGGGCGGTTCCTTTCCCACGCCGGCCTTCCTCTTCGCTGCCGTCTTCCTGGGGGCTGCGGGAGCGGCCTTCTTGCCTTTCCTCGCTTCGCCGACGTTCCAGTGCTCGTCATCATCGTCGTCGTCATCGTCCGATTGCTGCCGTACGACATGACAGCAGACAGGACACCCGCAATGAAAAAAAAAACTCTGTTGAGAACAAAAGACTCACATGTTTACCGAAAAATACAAAAAAAGGGGCTAAGAAACACAGCTCAATCTCGGCCACAACATGAGAAACGTTGTGTTAAGAACAAAAGGCTCACATGTTTACCGAGAAATAAGAGAAAAGGGCTAAGAAACACAGCTCAATCTCGGCCACAACATGAGAAACGTCCCAATAAGAAACAAACATGATCGTGCGATACCCCAAGGCATAAGAAACAAGGGGTAGCTGGGGGAGCGTGTCGAATATGAAATGTCCCACTGCTCCCTCCCGTACCTAGCTACAGCAGATAGGTCACCCAACAAGACACTCATTCGTTCCGTATGTCTTCCCAAATCCCCCCCCCCCCAAAAAAAAAACATCAACAAAAAAAGCGGTGTTTTATTTTCTTGTTTCGTCCCCAAAACCAAGCGAAAAGAAATACAAGAAAAACGCAAAGAAATAAAATAGCCTTTCTGTGGTACTTACAATGCTCAACAGTTGTGCTTTGAACTTTCTGTCTTCGGCTTGGAAAATCCATCGCGATTGATCTGCCGTGCTTCTCTCTCAGACGACTAAATCTTGCTTTGATCCACGAGCATTCGTCAACCGACGTACTGTACATGTACAAGGAAAATTAAGTTCGTTGTCGCAGCTCAAAAGCACCTTGGCACCAGGGACACACTCACTGCCCGGTCCACAATATTTATGAAGGTTTTCACCTGCTGCTGCTGCCGCCGCTGCTGCTGCTGCTGCTGCTGCTTGTCCCTCCCGGTCTTCTTGGCCCGGCCGCGTTCCTTGCCGCTCTTGCCTGCGCCGGCGTTGCCGTTGCTCTTGCCGGAGGAACCGTTCGTCGTGGAAGGGGGTGTCTTCTTCCTGTTGCCCTTCATCTTGGTGCGGTACACGAGCTGATCACCAACCACCGCGTGTGTTTTGCGAAAAAAAAAAAGGTGAAAAAAAAAAGTAAACGAACAAAAAGAAGGGTTTCGAGGCTGTGTTAGACGAAAAGCAAGGGAGGGACCCGTGTGACAGAAAAATCACGAGTGCCATATGAATATACGGCAGGTGGCCCGATATAGTGGCAACTTGAATAGCGGAACTGCCGATCTAGTGGAATCAAAATCTCTTCTCACGATCTCAACATTTACCTACATGAACCCGATAGACTACAATCGAATAGTAGCCACTGCCCTGAACAGCAGTGGGACATTATTCCTCTTGCCTCTACATGGCACTATATCGGGCCACCTACTGTGTACAAGGTTTCTATACGAGGTCGTTGGAAGGTTTAAAAATTTTTGGCGTGTTTGCCGCGCGAGTTCTACGGCCACGACGTATTATTACCAAAGTCATCCTCTCCCGGTCAATACCCGTCTCTACGTTCCGCTCGCTTCCTTTGCAGTTTGGAATCGACAGCATGCCAACAACTAGCGTTCATGAACAACAGACGAAGACGCTAAAGGATCATCATCACACCAAAACAACCACGTAGCTCGTCCGCACACATTCCACACATTTTCGTACTCTTCCCGCGACCTGCTGTACAACATACATACAGCTTTCGCTCGAACGTGCACAACGCCAACGGAAGAAACAACCAACAGCCGTCCGTTTCTCGCGTTTACCCGAAAACGAAAAGGAAACGGCATTCGCGCGCGTGTACTACATGCATACCTCGAATTTCTCCTTGCGACTCTTGAGCTTGAAGGCCTGCCCTCCCCGGGCTGCAGTACGCCGCCGTGAACGCCTGGCCCGTGGCCCCGGACGCTCCCGTATCGCACGACTGCCCAACGGCGGAAGAGGGGGGGGGGGGGGGTTGTACTCATGTTGTGCATGCCTTAGCGGTTAGACCATTGGCCACGCGTTCTCGAGAGGACGGAGCAGTGCTCCCACAGGACCGATCGCCGGTGGCCAATTTTTCCTTCCTACAGTAGGGTGTGAAAGGACAAAGTGCCAACAACTCGGGCCCGTGGTACGCTCCTCCCGTGCCGCCCGACCGCAACAAGGGCGCGGGAGGAGGGGGGGGGGGTGTACTCATGTAAAACGCATGCCGTAACCGTTAGACGGTAGATTTCGCATCCATACAACCGGCGGGACGGGGAGTGACATGCGGTTTTTTCGCCGGCCCAGGCACTCTACGTTTCACAAGGGTGAAGCAGTAGCTGGTCATCTCCCTTGTGTTTGCTGTGGCCAAACCAGATATGCCATGGGTTGATTGGGTGGAAGAAGGGAATCGAACCGCCAACAGCAGCAACAACAACAACAACAACAACAATAGCAGCAGCACAATATACCAACCCAGCGGCATCATCATCAACAACAGCAGCAGCAGCAGCAGCAGCAGCAGCCACGACAACAACAACCACCACCGACAACAGCAACAACATCACCACCACCACCACCAACACCAACACCAACTGCAATCAACACAAACACGATAGAATCTCACCACTTCCTCCAGAAAGGAGGAGAGCACCACCACCACCACCAACAACAACAACAACAACAACAATCAACACGATAGAAAGGCCGTCGAAGTCTCACCACTTCCTCCAGAAAGGAGGAGAGCACCATCTGCTGCGCGACGCGGATGGCCTCGTCCTTGGTCATGTCCTTGCAGCTCCCGGCACACTCCAGCTGCCTCGCGCCCCGCCTGCCGCAAGGACGATTGGGATTCACAGCCTTTATCCACTAGCTTGGTGAATAGTTCCGTATCGCTCAATACGAGGCGCTTGATGGAGTGGTGGCACAGCATGAGCACGCACTAGGTGCGTTGTGGTAATGTAATGTAATGCAACGTGTGTGATTCTTACGAACCAACCCTTCTTCTTTTTCTTCGAGCGCCTCTGTCTACACACACAGTTAATGTCATTTAGAAGTGTTTCGTGTTTTCAACCGCACTAAGACTGACGTATTTTCATTGGTCAGCCGGTTAGCGCGGTCGATGCTAATAATAAAGACACACACACAAACACACACACGAGAGTCACACCAACACTTCTCTTATCCTTTGACTACCTGCCTGCCTATCTATCTGTCTGTCTATTTGCCTGCCTGCCTACCTACCTACCTGTCTGTCTATTTGCCTGCCTGCCTATCGATCCGTCTGTCTTTACCGAACAAAGAAGGTAGACAGAGGGCGTTGGCGTACCGAAACTCGTTTCTGCTCTTGTTGTTCGTTCATGTTTGCATTTCTGACTATGGTATGTAAATGGAGGCCTTCACGGTGCCCCCCCCCCCCCCCCACAAACAATTC